TACTACTACTACTACTCTCTCTCTCTCTCTCTCTCTCTCTCTCTCTCTCTCTCCCTCTCCCCCCCCCCCCCCCCACATCACACTGAATAAGAAGAATTTGGTGTTTGGCAGTTGATTTTCTTTTTAAATCAAAAAGTCATTCTTAAACAGATTTTAGTAACTGACAATTACAGTTCTTTTCCTGAACGAATTTGATGCAATGGTGAACAAAGATGCGATGAGAGTTGATGAGCGAGGCATTAAAAATCAAATTCTGAACCTTAAGAAATCATCAAAAACTTCAAAGCATATAGAAGGCCCTATATGTTCCCGCCTAACTTCTGGAGCAGTCGATGATGCCTGGCAATCATGGAGGCTCTATATAGCTGAGAGGGTAGAGGAAGAATGAGAGAACCTTGGTTCATGAAAATGAGTGGTTGGGGAAATTTGAGAGATGATGGTTTTAGTTTTGGGGGCAAACATTTGAGAGAGAGGGGGAGAGAGCACCCTGGTTCATGAAACTGAAAGGATGGAGAGAGATCGTGAGATAGAGAGTGGGTGAAGGAAGGGGTAGAGAGAGAGCTTGAGGGGAAGGTTTAGAGAGAGATTGGATGATGGGGTAGAGAGAGAGTGTGTGTGCTTGTGTGTGTGAGTGTGTGTGTGTGTGTGTATGTGTGTGTGTGTGTGTGTGTGTGTGTATGAAGGGGGAGAGATGGGGGTATTCTTGAAAGATTGGGTTTTGAATAGCTAATTCATTATTTTTAGATGAAGCTGGACTTAGACAAATGACTAGGGACAGTATAGTAAATTGTATGGACAAAAAGGTGGGGAGGGGGTGTCATGTTCAATATGAAGGAAGTTCGAGGGGAGTCATCAGGCTTTTTTCTAGACCGCAGGGTCTATAAATGGGATGCATTTTTTTGGCAAGGGGGCCTACATCTTTTTCCCTCTTTTCTCTCTCGCTTTTTTTTTTTTTTTCCTGGTAAGTCACAGGCTTTTGGTGCTTTGTTTTATATTTGTGTGCTGAAAATTAATTCAAGCAGTTGACTTGAAGAAATGAAGAAGAATAGGGGAAGCAAACCAAGGATAGTAGGAAAACACTGCAAGAAATGGTTGGCTTGAAAAGGCATCATATCCAGGCACTGGTCTCCATTCATTTGCTGGTTGTTGAAAGGATAGGCTTTTTAAATTTGAGGACTCCACCCTTGTAGGGTTGGGGGGGAAAAGAAGGGGAGGGAGGGGAGGGGGGGGGGGGGGTAGGGGGGGTGGGCGGGTGTGGGAGATGACGATAGGACTCTACATCCATTCCAAAATGAGTTCCTATTCAACTTCTTACTCTTGAAATTAATCCCTATAATAGACGGGGGTTGTCATCTTACTTTTCGCGGTCAATTTCTTTTCTTTTCTTTGGTTTTGATACATGGATTATATAAGTAGATCAGTGTGAGCTACTACGTTTGGGCATCTCTTTGCTATACTGGGTGCATTTGAGGAAAAAAGGGTATTGTAAATATTGATAAGCAGTTTAGATCATCAAGGGTATATTCTGTACACTTTGTTTTTGTTTTGTTATTCTCTTGCATTTCGCTTTATTTGCTTTATCGCATTACATATAGAAGTTTTGTAAAGAAAAAACTTTTCAGGTCGTGGAATGTAAAATATAAATTATTGATTTTATGCTTAGTTGAGTCTTTATATGATGTGTTGGTTAGCTGGTACTTTGATGGGTTTCATTCCACAGCGCTCTAGATTTCAGAGGAGGTTTCATGAATCATGGTCAATGCAATTTGAATTTCATAATCTTCCTTCAAACTGATGAATGGAAATATCTATGTATTTAGAAGTGCCTTTGTGTTCGTTAAAAGTGATCCTTGTTTTCAACTCGGGTAATTGTTCCATGCTGGGTATACATATGGAATAGCGTGCTCAGACCCAAACTATCTACCATTACATGTTGATCCACGGACAATGGATCATTAGTTGTGGCCCACTTTCATAGCTACCTCTTTTTAGTGGAGACAGTTAATCCACAGCCCATAGATAAGTATGGACGATGGATGTTTGGTTGGAGTACCTGAATGGTGTTCCTCGTATGAAGGAAATACTTGTACGAAGTATAGTATCCCATCCCTTCCAATGATACATTTGCTTTGACCTGTTTGTCATTGCCAAATGTTGTCTTGTTTATTTATTTCAGTGAAATTATAGAACAATTTCCCCTGCTAGATGATTACTGTTGGGCTGTCATCAAAGTAACGAATGGTCTTCAAGCCTTTCATTTCTTCATGCATTGTACCAGAGAAACAATTCATTTAGTTTATAGTTTCATTTATTTTGTAGGTTTGTTTTTTCTTTTTGCATATTTGTCATGCATTGTACCAGAGAAACAATTCATTTAGTTTATAGTTTCATTTATTTTGTAGGTTTGTTTTTTCTTTTTGCATATTTGGGATTTTTCTTTGAAAATTTATAAATTTTTTGTGTTACATTTTATTCTGTGTCCCAGTTTTTGAGGTTACCATACCTTCTTGTCATGTCAGATGCCTGTGTTCATGTTTGTGCTTCACAGTTGACAAGTAACTGGTTCTGTTTGTCCAAAATCAAACTTGCAATTTTGTTAACATGTTGGTTACTAGGCGCTTCTGATTCTTTCTCAAATATCCCAGGAAATTGGTTTGATATTGATGAGAAACAACCTATTGCCTTTGCCAAGGTGGAAATCATTGAAGCAGCAGAAATGAAACCCTCTGATCCAAATGGTGCAAGCTCTTCTACTCTCTCTCTCTCTCCCCCCAATAATTTATCAAATAAATATCTAAATTTCTAGAGATTTTCATTCAAGATGTCAATTTTGGCTAAGAAATTTAAAAGAGATGCAAATGTGGCAGGGCTGGCAGATCCTTATGTGCGTGGTCATATGGGTCCTTACAGATTCAAGACAAAAGTCCAAAAGAAAACACTGGCTCCCAAGTGGCAAGAGGATTTCAAAATTCCCATCTGTACATGGGAGTCACCAAATATGCTCATCCTTGAAGTCCTCGACAAGGACCATTTTTATGATGACACTCTTGGGTTTGCTTCTAAACCCTGTTAATCTTTTAGGACATACATGATCAAGGATGGATTTTTCTTTTTTTTTCGTAATATGCTTTGGTGTTGAAGCCTTAGGGAAGAGAATTGTGACTGGGGGACCAGAGGCCTCTGTCTCTCTCCGAGAGAGAGAGAGATGGATTTTTCTTTGTTTTCGTAATATGCTTTGGTGTTGAAGCCTTAGGGAAGAAAATTGTGACTGGGGGACCAGAGGTCTCTGTCTCTCTCCGAGAGAGAGAGAGAGAGAGAGTTTTATTTTTACTTGTATTTGTATGCAATAACTCTGCAATAACTCTGCAACAAGCCTGGAATGTTCATTGGCTTTGTGGATTGCTGAATACACTGAACTTCTCTATCATCGTCAGGGACTGTTCCCTGAATATCAGTGACCTGAGGGGTGGGCAGCGTCATGACAAGTGGTTACCTCTAAAGAACATCAAAAAGGGGAGGCTGCATATTGCAGTCACCATTCTTGATGCTGAGCCTGATGGAAAGGTGCGCACTTGTCTTTTGAATTTTGGCTTTCAGAAGAAGTTTCATCTGCTCATCCAATTTAAATTGAAATTCAATCTGAATAATGGATGATGTTAGCTGAATGGCCACCAAAGCCACTTTGGGGTCGGTGGAAGGGCCACTTCCAAATGTCACTTGGAGTGTCCAACCTTTGAGCCCTGCTCTGTGACAGATCACTGATCTATATAATGAAAGACTAATTGTTTCAAGATCTTCTGAAAATATTGTGATCTATATAATGAAAGACAAGATTTCTCTTAATATTACATTCCAATTCCTTCCTGATATCTCCCAAGGAAAATCCCAAATTGAATCCCAAATTCCTGTAAATTCCAATTCCTGATATTACATTCCAATTCTTTCTTTCTTATTTCTTTCAGAATTTTTACTTTCTTTATCTTCTACTAGTTTATTCCAGTGTTAAGAAAAAATTTCCCAAGATCGGATCAGTGACCTACTAGGTCGATTCCCTTACATAATTGAGAATCTACCCAATCCTCAACTTCAATTTCCAGTTCTTGTTATAGAAGTGGATAATTCAATCTGAGAATTATCCGGTTCTATGACAGAGAACTGGATGATTCTTCCTTGTGTATTGTTGGAGCTCTTGGAAATGGGGCATTTTTCATAAAACAAATCCAATTTTCTCATTACTTATCCAAAAGAAAAAAATCCAATTTTCTCATTTCCCTAATCTTTTGTCTAATTTCTATCAAGATTTTATTTTTGTATCCAGCTGTCAGATAAAGAACATATCTTTTTGGATCGAAACTGCTTTAGGGCAAGATGGAAACTTAAAAGTTTCTCCATTTTTGAGCTCAAATCCCTTGGTCCGTCTTTTCCATATTTTCTCTATCATTTCTCCCACAGTTTCTTGCAAATTTGTCTCAAACCTTAGTTTTGGACCCCCCTTTATCCAATTAGCAAAGAAGATTTTCAGGTCAAAACTAGTTTTGGGATGAAAAAACTGTTGTAAGACGGATCTGTTTAACTGTTTAAAAAAATAATAATAATGTTACAATCAATTTAAGTTTTTAATTTTAAACACTGATTTGTGTAGATTTGAATCTGATTTGGATGTACTTGTGTAAAAGAAACCTAAAAAAATCAATCGATTTAGAATTGTTTTTTCTTTTAAACTGTGATTTTAGGAGATTTGAATCTGATTTAGATATACTTCATCTAAATACCTTAACTCGTCAGTTTCTGGCTTCTTGTAATAATTTTATCTATTTTATGTTTATCTAAACGAAATTCAATAATTTTGTATATCACCATTTTCTGATTTTTTAGTCAAGAGTGAAAAATCGCCTTTTCTGATAGAAAAGTCAATCGATCATTTTTTATTTGCCAACTCAGATATTTTCTTATCAAGTCAACCATTTGTCTTATCTGTTTTCAAATCATTTTTCATCTATGATTTTTAATTTTTTATTTTTCTCAATAATTTCACCTCCATCACCCAGGATCAAGCAATCTTAATCAGAACCGGCGATCTATATCAGTCTAGTGGAGAACTGATTTGTCCATTTTGTAAAAAAACATTGGTTTATTCTATTTATTTCACCAAGAATTTCTCCAACGTTTCCGGGATAAACATTGAATTTTGAAGGTACAGTATGCAATGATTTATATAGTCATGTCAATCTGACAATCTTTGATGTGTTTGGCAGGACCCACGCTCGTCCATTACCTTCCAACCCACTCATTTGACAGTGATAAATCCCTAAAACCGTTTCTAACGTTTTTATTATTGTGATCATTGAGGTCACAACACACTTGATATCACTTGAGCAAGTACTTCACTAGGAATGTAATTTGTCAGTCTCAACAGACAATTTTTCTAAACTAAAATAACCATAATTCATGCAGGAGAATCCTGATGATGATGAACCATCAAAACCCAAAGCAGCAGCCCATAATGACATACCAGTGACTGAAGTTACTGACCGTGAAGTTAACCACACAAAATCTCAAGACAAGTCTCCCTCTAACTGGGCGGACGAATTCGAACCCCTCAAAATTGATGGCCAAGATCACCCTGCCCTCTGTGTATATCGACCTGGGAGTGACACCTCCCAAACTTGGGAGCCTAGAAAGGGGAAAGCCATGCACCCTGAAACCCTAATCCACAGAGAGGATCCAAGCAACATGGATAGCCCCCGTTTTACAGGGAATGGATCCCAGGACAATGAAACTGGCAGCGAAGATGACAATGCCACAACTGACATAAGCCATAAACATGGTGCAATCGCGAGGAAACTACGAAAGATCCAAAGTATTTTTTGTAGGAGCCCAAAGAGCCATGATGAGCCACCCAAGATCAAGGAAGAAAGAAAACCGCTTCGGCCTATTGAGCCTAAACTAGTTAGTAATAGAGCGGTCGGTGTGATGTTAGTGTTAAATGATGTGCCTGAGGAGGTACAACACGAACTAGAGGAGCTAGAGGTTCTTAAAAGGGACGAAGAGGGGCTAAGTCCCCAAAAGGCGGAGATGGATAGCAGCCCTAGGGGTGTTAAGGAAAAGGCAAAGAGCATATTGAGGCAGGCTGGTAAATCGGCTCATGGCTTGACCCATGTCCTTAGCAAGAGGGGCTTCGACCGACCCAACAAGCTTGAAACATCATCTCAAAGAGAGGAATCCAAGGGCTCAACCTCACCTCAAATGGAACAATCTAAAGACAAAGACTCCGCCTCAAAGGAATACTCGAAAGGCATGTACAAACAACCTAATAAGCTGAACCCACCTCAAAGAGAGCTTTCCAAAGGCTTTGACAAGCCGGACCTGGATCAAAAGGAAAGTCACACAGGTTTAGATCGGCTTCAAAGGGGACATTCTTTAGGCTCAGATCCCCCTCAAAGTGAGCACATCAAAGTTTCCGATGGAACCAAGCTGGAGCCACCTCAAAGAAAACATTTGGAAGAGCTCGACCATCTCGACATGCCTCAAGTTGGATGTAGCGAGGCCTCCAATGGATTTTGGGGGGACCTATGTCTAGGAGAACATCACCCACTTGCACTAGAGGAACATAACCCTATGGTATCTACAACAGGTACTGAGCCCACTTCTGCTGTCGATCAAACGGGGGAATCTCGAAGGATGGATGGTTCAGAGAGTGATGTTGTACGGTCTGGCGATGGTGGGCATGGGAATGGGATCCCAGGGGTTGAGGGTTACTTAAATTCACAGGCGTTTAAAGAGGTTATGAATGAGAAAGGAGTGGCTTTGTAAGGAGTATGGAAAGTTCATTAGTATGTGAAATGGGTTTTAAACAAAAGAGAGAGAGGCTTCAGAAGAAGTGGGTTATATTTTCGGAACATGGAAATGTACTTGCACCATTGCTGATGGCTTGTTCTTGTAAATATTTTGGGGAAAAGCAAGTCAACATGGAAGCTTAAGAAGTTGAGGAAGTAGTTGAGAAGTGTAGGAAAGTGAAAGGAAAATGAAAGGAACCAAAAAAAAGAATAGCATGCATTGTAAGGGCATCTAAAATCTTATGGATAATGTTATTTTGTGGACTCTTTTCATCTTGTATTATGTATAAAATTATTTGAATTTTTCATTGATTTTGCTTGAGGTGAGTCACGTAATAAGATTTTTTTTTTTTTTTTTTTTTGAATTGTGTCAATGACACACTCTGATAACTATTCATTTTAAAATTTAAGGGACGAATGATTGTGATCTCTATATACAAAAGAAAAATATCTTTGTAGATAATGCCATATTCATTTTGAAATTTAAGAGACGAGAATGATTATGATATCTATATATAAAAGATAAATGATCTCTTTGTAGACAATGATTGTGTTTTATAAATGATCTCTTTGTAGACGATGATTGTGACTTCCATGTATAAAAGATAAATGATTTTTTTGTAAGCAATCCCATATATAAGCCATTAATTATTAATTATTTTGTAGGGAATTTCATACATAAGCTATTAATTATTAATTATTAGTGGTATGTATCTATCTCCTAAAAGCTGCTTATTTTGACAAATTTGGGGGCATTCTATTTTGAAATTTAAGAGACCAGAATGATTGTGACAAATTTGAGGCCATTCCATTTTGAAATTTAAGAGAGGAGAATGATTGTGACATCTATGTATGAAAGATAAATGATCTCTTTGTAGACAATCCTATAGATAAGCCATTAATTATTAGTGGTATGTATTTATCTCCTAAAAGTGCTTATTTTGACAAATTTGAGGCCATTCAAATCCACTTTTTGTTTTGACAAATTTGAGGCAATTGTCAAATCCACCTTTCACTAAAAAAGGAATATATGTAGAGAAGCGATCATCCTAGTTTGGTTGGGTAGCGTTTGTTCATCATTAGGCACAAGTGAGGTGAAAATCCTTTGCAATATCTTAGATTCCGGTAAAGATTTGAATAAGGGAGATAGAGGCTTCACTTTTTCTCATCTTTTAATATTGGGCAAGCTTTTTATGTTTTTCGTACAACAGAAAATTTATATACTTCCTCTTATCGAATGGAAGAATAAGATTGCCACAATCACGATGTCACATCTCTACACTATTTTATTTTTAATTTTTTTTTTATCAACTATTTTGACACTTGGGCATTTAAAAAAAAATTTCAATTAAATAAAATGATCAAAATATGCTTTGAAAATTTCAGGGGGTATTTTGATAATTATATTTTATCGAAAAATTATTTTTAATATATTTATAGGTGCACCCCAATAAGAATATGACATATACCAAATTTAAATATTTCTAATAAAATAAAATGATCAAAATACCCTGTGAAAATTTCAAAGGTATTTTGATAATTATATTTTATCGAAAAATTATTTTTAATATATTTTATAGGTGCACCCCAATGAGAATATGACATATACTAAATTTCATATTCATACAATTTGTATAAAAAAACTAAAAATAAAATACTTTGAGACGTTGGATCTTAAGATCAAACAGTGAGTGGCTCACTTGATCAAAATTGGACGGCTGAATGGTAGGGAAAGCATAGATCTTCTATGCTGTAGGGAAAGTATAGAAACCTTTCCCTTTAATATTAACTTGTCACTTTATATAGATAAAAGGGAAATTTGTCAAATCATCCACCAGAGTTGAACAATTTAACACTTAATCCATATTTTTTAATTTAATGTCAAAATACTCATAAAAACTACATTGTCTTGACATAGTTGCAAATGGGCAAAACATTAAATACTAATCTCTAATGGGTATTTCAATAATTTTGACAAATTCTCCTATATAAAAAGAAGGCCAACACTGCTATGCAATATCTCAAAGCCTGTTGACCATCAAAATTGGTCTTCCATTCTCCTGTCTTGCTAGGGCATTTGCCTTCTTATTGGAATCCCTATAGCAATGCATGAACTCTGTACCAGAATTCTTTGTGATAGCTTTGATTTCATAAAAAACGATGAACTAAATTCTTTGTGATGGCTATGATTTCATCAAAAATGATGATCAGCGTCCATGGTATCTGCAGTTCACCTTTGAACCAATTAATCAAATGATTGGAATCACCCTCAATTATGATCTTGTTTTGTTTGTTATGCATAAGACTCGAATCACTTGACATGGACTCCAAGGCAACAGGATGGTCTGAGATAACATCAAATAACATGTTATAAGAGTAGGACCATATACTACAAGACTACTGAGTCTTATCCTCGTACTAAAAAATCAATGGTCTTGTAGTATATGGTCAAGGATAAGACTTAAATGATGATGATGTGAAATCCAATAGGCTAAAGTATGTTGTAATGTTCGAGAAGTTTTATTTGGGCTTCGTGTCCAAATAATGACACATCCTTTAACTTTTTGATTTTAAATCTATCTATCAACGGTGATCATGAGCTCCTTGTTTCAAAAGAAAATGGTCTCATTGTACATTTCCTATGCATTTGATTGTTTTCTCCTATTTTAGTGTTCTTAAATTCATTATATTATTTACAATAATCATATTTAAATCTCGTGGGCAAACATATGAATATTAATTAATAGGGTGCTTAAATATCTCAAAGAGTTGTAAGGGATTAACTAAGGTTTCTATGATAAGTCATGACAAAAAAATGATAGGAGATGTGGCCATATTATGAGTATGTTGTCAAAAAAAAAAAAAAAAGGGGAAGGAGAGAGAGAGAGAGAAGATAAATAGGAACATCACTGCTATTTTATTTTTTGGAATAATTAGAAATATTTCTAGGAAGGGAGGTTTGTATAAGGCACCCATCTAATATTGTAGAAGTAAGGCACACATCTAAAATTTGTTTAAAGATTATTTCCGGCTTAGCTATGAAATGTAAACTTTCAAAAAGGGTATAAACACTTGAAAATAGACGATCCAAATAATTTATTACAAACTGCTCTATTTTTAGTACCTGAAATTCCCCTTTTTTCATCATATCCACACATCTCAATGGTCAAAGGGTTCATCAACGTCAGAACATCCTCTTCTAAAGGATTTTTGTGGTGCAACTTGCTTCAACAGCATAAGGTTCAAACCTGATATAAACTTTTTCCTTCTAAGAAAGCTATTCCAAATCAATATTCGTTTCAAACTGTATCTTCCTAAAAAATCCATCCTAAAAAGTTATTGCAATGTCAAAAACATTACAAGTGATTATCTTGAACTTGAGATGTATGGCTATGAGAAAACAAAATTCCAAGGTACAAAATATATCTTGTAACACATTATCTAGATCATCTATTTTTTGAATTTTCAATTGTGTATAGATCTGTTCAATCTAGCATAGTTTTTGAGCTTTAACTTTCATAAGTTGGTATGGAAATTGAATTTTAGATCATCCTAAGGGTTTTTGCCATCAAAATCAACAATGTGCATGAGTTTATAGTATCCCATGGAAAGTTGATTTCACAATAACCACCGTGCGAATACCCCATTGATATAATTACAATCATTGACTATCACCCACTCTCGATAGCGCAAGAAGGATCTGGTTTCCATCTAATCCCTTGAATAAAATTAATCTTTCCACCACATAATATAGTTCTTATACTCCTACAGATCCCAAAAACAACTCAAGATTGGGCATAAAACCATATGAAACAAATGAGGAGAATTTGGGGCTAAAACCGGCTCAAAACGCAATAGTTTCGGGCCTAGGGTTTTGCTCAAAGTTCCAAAACACTATGGGACCAAAAGGGACCAATTTTGGTGCATGGAGCTAAAGGAGAGCTCATTGTTATAATTCTATTAGCATTTTCAGAAACAAAGAAGTTTTTATAGTTTGCACAAGATAGCATGAGAATTATATCACAAAATATAAAGAGAAAGGCCCTTTACATATCTAACACTTAATCATTTCAAAAGAAAACTTATGAGAGATGGATGCTTAATATGGTTATGAAATTCCAGCAGTACAAGATTGATATAACAGCCACCAAACATGAATTGAGTGGTGCGTCATGAAGTTGTAAACACCATACTTCATTATGGTAGAAAAGCATGAAAGGGGTAAATCTATTTGAATCTTAGAGATGGTAAAATTTCCAGAAACATTTGCTAAACACAACAGGAGCCAAACATGGCTCAACAACAGCCATCACACAATGGATGGTGCAGGATGAAGTTCAGAATACAAGGGCTTCATGATGCAAATAAAATTGGGATTTAATTTAAGTTTAATTTTAGGAGTAGAAATTGCCTTTGGGTAGGTTACGTTAGGTGGAAGAACTTTTGGTGCTTGATTTTTAGTTAGTAAATAGAGTGTGGCGTGAATTTTTTTAGGATATTTATATCTTTTATTTGATGTGAGTTGGTTTTTAAGTCTATCTTGTATTAATGTGCGTATGGGGTTTCTTAAGCTTATCTTATATTAAGTTAGGTATATGGGTTTATATTTTACTTTGGAGTTATCTTTTGGAAAAGTGTAACAAGTAATGAGGGGCATTAAGGAGGGTGGTGAGAGATAAGAAAGTAAGAGAGAAAATAGGGAAGAGATATAGGTGGTATGTGAAGAAATTAGGAGATTATTTTTTATGAGTTTTTTTTTTGTTTATTTTTTTCTTATTTAAAGGGAAGAAATCCCTCACTGTAACAGATCAGTGAATGAGAATTAAATAAAACTTGGTCTTGTGAAGAGATCATTTTTGGAGTTCCTTTGCAGACTTTGAGAGGGGGTATATTCTCTCAACTTTTTCTTTTTTCATTGTTCTTATTCCAATTTTATTTTTTCCCTGCATCAGTTGATTTCAAAGCAAATTAAATCCAGAGAGAGCAGGTTAGATCTAAAGAGAACAAGTAAGATCAAGAGATCCGGTTTTTTTTACAATGCCACCAAAAGCTAATCCTACTCCTGCTATGGACGATCGCTACGGACATGCTATAGAAAGTTTGACTAAAGCCTTAGAGAATATTCGACCAGAAGTACGTAATATAAATTAGGGGATGTAAGAGTTGGATCAGAGGCTGTAATGGTTAGAGAACAACCTTCATCGTGAAGAAGGTACTCGCAACCACTTTGATCATGCGCCAGTAGTCCCACGACAAACCCAGGGTGTTGATTTCGCGCGTCACGAAGAAATTTACAGGCCAGATTCGCATCCTACA